CGGTGAGCCATACAATCCAGTTTGTGTTTTTGATGACTACTTGCTCTGTACCCAGAAGAATTTTGATATGATAAGTTGCATCAAGTTGGCAACTATAGAAGAAAGATATGACATTTGAAAACTATTTTTAAAAGACATTTTAATTGCATATTAACTTCAACATGATTGAAGTGTGGGAGTCAGTGTAAATATTCAGCTCTTCAGAATTAAGTCATGTCAAACCAAGTATTCAGTCTTCAAAATGACACTGGCCTTTCATAATATTATGACCTTAATTTAGAGCAACAAATATTAGCTAATGTGAGAATGTAGCATTGAGAAAAAGAGACTGTGACTATACTTGCAATTCATTAGATGAGTCAACTTTTAACTTAAAAATCTGGAAACAGAAGCATAGAATTGAGAGAACTACTTGAATAAAATAATGTAAAAATGTAGAATAGACTTTGAGCAGAGGGTACTGACAGAGAAACCAGGTTGGATTTAGAGGTCAGTGTTCTGTTCCATTGAAGGAATAAAATAAGAGTTCAGGACTCTGCGGAAAAAGTACAGGAAAAGGTTCCAGTGAAAGACGCTAGAAAATAACGTACAAAGCAGTGTTTTCAACTAAGTTTAAAAAGCATTGTTTTGGGGACTGGAAAGAGAGTACAGTGGATAGGGTACTTGCTTTGCTTGTGGTAGGCCCTGATTCAAGACTTGACACTCCATATTACCTCCTGGAACCTGCCAGAAGGAATCTTTGAATGCAGAACTCCTAGTAAGTCCAGAGCATGGTCCAATGTGGCAATCCCTAATGCAAATGCATTATATAAGCAATTAAAAAAAAGAGCTTCTCAGTGGTCTGTGGCATCTTTCTTAATATGAGAAAATAATTTGACCAAGCCTTACAGAAAATTTTTTACATTGTTCTCATGTACAGAGGCAAATGTTCTTTAAGCTCTCACTACTTACTGATGACATGTATACTTAGAAAATCCTAAAGATTCTATTTTTAAAAATTCTAGAACTAATATATTTGTATAATGTATAAATCCCCCGCTCAGGAACTGTGAAAGCCCCTCACTGGTACGGGGATTACATGTGAAAGAATGTTCTCAGTGTTCGTGGGCTCTCCGGGTGGCTCTCTCTCGCCGCCTATATTCTGTGCTCTCAAGCCGCTTCTTCACTCCGGACAACTATTACCTTCGACAGATGAAGAACAAGAGACAATCTGGTTGCTGATTAGTTGCCGTTTATTCATTCTCTCATCTCTCCCAGCTCTTTCCTACCTTCTGTGTGTGTGTTTGTGTGCGTGTGTGTGTCTATCTCAATCCTCCTTTGTGTAATTCTTCCCTCCCCCAGCAGCTCCTTTTTATCCTCTTACCACGCCTCTCCAACCACGCCTCCCCATAGGAAGCATAATCAGAAATGTTTTTCCAGTCATCCCAACCACAAGGGCAAAACAGCCCTTAAGGTGTGCTTCTCCCCTCCTTAGACCAGCAACTTAATTAACATCTCTAATTCTACTTCCTAATATTTACCATTCTGTATGGACACAGTGCGGAGTCTCCTGCCCCCACACCTGGCTGTCCTCACGGCGGGGGGGGGGGGTGTGGACCTTAAAGGGGGGTGGGTTGAGTTTCCCTCCCCACCCCGAGCAGAGCCTGGCAGCTGAAGACCTCCAGTAACCAGCCACGGCCATACTCAAGGCCACTCTCCACATGCCCAGACCAGCCTCACGCATGAATGAACCAGCAGAGGAACCCAGGTATGTGGGACCCAGGGCTGAGATCCACAAACCTCCTGAGATCCAGATTGGGCCTTCTCCACCCAGACCCTCCATTTTTTCAGTAGCTAGGCAGTCACACCCACAAACTGGCCCTGGTGCCATGTAATCCCATCAAGGCCAAGATCCAAAGACTATAAAACAAAGCTCCCCAGTAGTGTGTGGCCATATTAGTGGTTGTGCGACCTCTTATAGTCTAGTTCTCCCTCTCAGAGAACCCGGCAAGCTAACAAAAGTATCTTCTCTCATGGCAGAATCTGGCAAGCTCCCCATGGCATATTCGATATGCCAAAAACAGTAACAATAATGGGTCTCATTCCCCTGACCCTGAAAGAGCCTCCAATGTGGCACCATTGGAAAGGACGAGTAAAGAAAGGCTGCTAAAAATCTCAGGGCTAGGACGAATGGAGAAGTTACTGGCACCTGCTCGAGCAAATCTATGAACAACAGGATGATAGTGATACAGTGACAGTGATGGACAGAGTAATAGAAAATTTTAGGCTTATAGGGTGACTCTCCTGTGGATATCTCACCACAGACTCAGACTACAGTGTTCAGGATGAATTAATCATTCCTAACCCCAGCAGGATTCAAATCAAGTGATTACTTTTGGATCATGACAGAATTTGTCCGTGACCAAGCTTTTAACTTATAGTTAAGCATTATGGCACTTTGGCCAGGCCCATTTTGACGCCAGGGTAGCTCATAGCTCACCACTTGCCCTGGGTCCATCCAGTCCCTCCTCAGTATCCTGCTCTTAGGGATCAAGGAAGTAAGGGCAACTGAGGCTTAAGTCAGGAGAGCGGATGTCCAGGAGGTATATTATTTGGAGTCAATCAACTCCCAAGCCAGAAGCTTATCTTTTCAACTGTCTTCCTGTATCCACACAAGAAGCAATTGCTCTGAAATAACTAACTATGCAAAGGACATTAAGGAGAAGAGAAAGACAATATTTACAACTCAGAGTCTTACCTGAAATTTATGTTGTCGGATACTAGTATGGCCACTCCAGCTTTTTTGAGGGAGCTCTTTGCTTGCAGGATTATTTTCCATCCTTTGACTTTGAGTCTATGTTTGCTCTGACTGTTCAGATGAGTTTCTTGTAGGCAGCAGAATGTTGGGTTCTGTCTCTGAATCCATTTTGCCACCTTGTGTCTCTTACTTGGTGAATTTGGACCATTGACATTGAGAGAGATTATTGTTACGGGGTTTTGTGTCATCTTTCTGTAAGGGTCTGTTGTGCTTGTAGGGTTTGTCTTGTCTTATAGTAGCCCCTTTAGCCCTTCTTTTGAGTTTGGTTTTGAATCTATGAAGTTCCTGAGCTGCTGTTTATCCAGAAAATAGTGTACCGTTTCTTCGAGTTGGAGTGAGAGTTTAACCGGATAGAGTGTTCTTGGTGAAGCATTCATTTAAGTGAGTTTTTTCACTATATCCTACCACTGCCTTCGGGCTTGGAGGTTCCTCTGATAAGTATGCTGCAAATCTAAGGGATGCTCCTTCATATGTGATTTCCTTCTTTGACCTTGCTTCTTGCATTTTTGTGTCTCTATCGGCAGCATCCATCATTCTAACCATGATATGTCTTGGAGTGTTTTTGTTAGGGTCTCTTTTAGCTGGCACCTTTCGGGCTCCTTGAATCTGAATGGTTGCATTGTCCAGCACTGGGAATTTTTCAGCAATGATTTGTTTAACCATGGCTTTTTCATTGGGATTGTTTACCTGAGCTTCTGGTACTCCAATAATTCTAATGTTGTTCCTCTTGGAATCATCTCCTAGGACTCCGATTCACTCTAGTGCTATTTTGAGGTCTCTTGCCATTATTTGTTGTTGCCTGTTGCCTTGGTGCAGCTGATCTTCCAACAAACTGATTCTGTCTTCAGCTGTGGTCATTCTACTCTTGAGGGCACAGACTGAGTTTTTTATTTCATCTACGGAATCTTTATGACATTTCTGTGCGTAGCTTTCCAATTTCTGCTCTCAATTCTTCCCGTAATTTCTCAATTGTTTCTCTCATGTTACTGGATATCTGTCTGACTGTTTCATTGAGTTCATTGAACATCTTCATTACTTCATATCTGAATTCTTTCTCAGAGAGGTTCTTTAGGTGAGTAGCACCTTGTGAGGCTTCTGGACTCTTTTCTTCATCCTCCCCACACGGTGGGTTTTTGCATTGTTTCTTCATGTTGGTGTGAAGGTTATGGGGACTGAAATGTTACACTAGATTTCTTGGTACAACTAAACCACCTGTGGCCGCGTGAGCATTAGCAGGCCAAAATTATGTCACGCCCACTTCTGCAGAGGCCATGCCCCTGCGGGTACGTGGCATTTGGGAGTGTACCAGCTGAGAGGGGAAGAAGACCGGCACAACATTGGGGACTAACAGGAAGAGGCTCAGGGATGCTGGGGATCCCAGGTTCCTAGAGGACGCCTGGGGCGCGTGCACGGAGAAAGCCAAGTCCCGGGTTCAAATATTGGCGGGTTAATTGACTTGGGAGGGGAAGAAGACCAGCACAGCATTGGGATAAACAGGAAGAGGCTTGGAGATGCTGGGCATCCCAGGGTCCTACAGGACGCCTAAGGCATGTGTGTGGAAAGCGTTCTCCACTACCTCCACTACCCTGCCGCTGCCACCCTCCAGGATGCTTTCTGCACCCTCAGGCTGAGACACATACATGAGTGAAGCCCTACAGAACCAGGCAAGCTGTACTCCGAGACCTTTGACTCCAGGCTCAATGGACCAGGGAACAGAGATCTTCTCTCTGCTCCCACTAATCCTGTTTGAGGGTACCTGGAAGAGATGCTTCTTCATCTCTCTGGCTTAACAGAAACTCTGATTTGAAGATAATGAATGGATTTTGCACCAAACCACAGGAAAGCCCGAAAACTTCTCCATCCTCCATGCCCAGGCACCGAGTCCTGCTGCACAAGCCCACAGATTGGGAGCACAAGATCCTCATCTGGTCAGGCCCCTTCAAGAAGGAAGAGGAAATTCCAGAGATGATCTCGTTTGAGATGCTTGATGCTGCGAAGAACAGAATGTGGGTGAAGATCAGCTATAAAATGAGCATACTGACAGTGGTAGAATGCATCTTCATGGTTACTGAGGGCAAGAACACTGCCAGAAGACATGAGACTTTAACAAGCCTGAACTTAGAAAAGAAAGCTTGTCTGAGAGAGGAAGCAGCTTTGAAGGCCAAAACCGAGTAAGGAGAGGTGTCCATGTTGACTGGATTTTTCACAGTTCAGGATAACGTTGCTGAGTCAAGCCTGTATTATAAAGAATGTGGTACGAGATCCATTTCATGGAAATATGGTTTGCAATCTTACACAAATACTCTATTTCTGCTCTATAGGTACAAATAAATTTTCTTTTAAAATGGGCTTGTGTATATTTTGTGGCTTTGCTTCAAGAGAAATGCAATCTCTCAGTTTTTTGGAGAGAATGAAAGTGAAAAAAGAGTTACTTCAACTTTAATATTAAAGTGATTTCTCCCCAAAAGCCAAAATAGCATTTAACTTTTTTATTTTTCCCTTCTGTGTACTCATTTCTAAGAGAAGGAAAGCCAGTTGAACATACTGCCTGGCTGCATCGGTGAAGTCGGCTTCTCAAGGGCCTGGAACTCTTGTGTTCTGGGAAGCAGCACCCCACACCTCTCCCACCTCCCCCACCCCCCACCTGCCTTCCTGGGCTGCTGGAAGAGGCTTGTAGGAGAGCAGCCATTGAAAAGTTCTGACCAGGTAATGAAAAACTGGAGGACCCTGTGTTTTCCAGAATATTGAGGTCTCAGTAGTGTGGGCTTACACAACCACATCTTTTGTCCCATGGTCTGGAATTTCTGACCGGTGCTTTTCCTGCTGCTTTTCTACTAAATTTCTCAATTATGAAAATCTTCTTAATGTTGAAAGAGGAGTGTTCTCACCTCATAAGTATTGTGTTTACACTTTAGGATGCCAAATTGACTCACATTTAGTCTGGCTGCTCGATTTTGTGTGTGTGTGTGTGTGTGTGTGTGGTTTTTTTTTGGGGGGGGGTCACACCCAGCGATGCACAGGGGCCATTCCTGGCTGTGTACTCAGGAATTACTCCTGACGGTGCTTGGGGGACCATATGGGATGATGGAAATTGAACCCAGGTCAGCTGCATGCAAGGCAAACGCCCTCCCCACTGTGCTGTTGCTCTAGCTCCACGTTTTTATTTTCAATTTCATTTAAACATCTTAATTTTTTGTTGTAAATGTTTCATTTACTCTCACATTGTTTAAAAATGAATGAATAAATCCTTTTAGCCATCCCAAACTTCTAATTCTCAGAGGGTTGTAACATTAAAAAGTGATATATACAGCTGTTTGGGAATATAATTTAATAAAATGGCAAAATGTAATGCATATTTCCACCTTTGGCTTCACCAACTTCTTATTTGTATATTTCAGTTTTTAGTAGTTTGGTCTTCACTTCTTTTGATATATCAAATTATGATAACACTTTCAAATTTATCAGCAAAAGAATTTTTTAAAATCTTTTTCATTGAGTCTTATTTTGGAACACTTGTAATTTAACTCTACCACTGTTTTAATAATCAGTATACTTTCGTGTACTTCTTTAAAGATCAGCAATATTTCTTCCTAGAAAAATCACATTTTTGGCTACTGAAGAAATATTTGTGTTGTATCCTGGAGATTACAATAGAAATGTTTCATTAAACTAAAGCTAACAAATGTTAGTATGTACCAAGAAAAAAAAGTGCTCTAGATCTCTAATTATTATGGAGATGCAAATCAAATCAACAATGAGATATCATCTCATGACATGGAAACTGGCACACATCAATAAAAACAATGAGTACTGGCATGGATATGGAAAGGGACTCTTGTTCACACCTGTTTGAAACTTGATTCAGCTACCCTTACATCGAAATAGGCCTGGCCAAAAAAATGCCCTAATGCTTAACTATAAGTTAAGAGTTTGGTCATGGACAAATTCTGTCATATCCAAAAGTAATACCTGATTTAGACCCTGCTTGGGTTGGGAATGATTGATCCACCCTGAGCACTGTAGTCTGAGTCTGTGGTGAAATGTCCCCAGGAAAGTCATCCTAACAAGCCTAAAAGTGTCTATTACTGTGTCCATTTTCATTTCATTTTTTCATTTCATCATCCTGTTAATCGTCGATTGCCTCGAGCAGGCCCCAGTAACGTCTCTTTCATCCTAGCCCTGAGATTATATTCACGGCTCTTTAGGAGAATGAGACCCATCATTGTTACTGGTATTTGGCATATTTGGTAGGCCACGGGGAGTTTGCCAGACTGCCCTGTGGGCAGGCTACATTCAATAGCCTGCAAGTTTGTCCAAAGTAGGAATGAGATAATAAGATGTCATAAAGAAAAGGTCTGATAAGATGTCGCGCGGCCGCATTTGCGGCCGCGCGGTTCCGGGATCTGGATTTTATAGTCTCTGAGTCTTGGCCGCTGATGGGATTACACGGCGCCAGGGGGCCAGGTGGTGGGTGTGACCCCCGCCTACTGGAATTTGGAGGATCTGGGTGGAAGATGCTCGACTCCAATTCGAGTAGGCTTGGAGGTCTTGGCCCCGGAACCCGCGTGGCTTTGTCCCTCTGCCAGTACCTTCAGTACCTTCAAAAAATTAGAAATCGAGCTCCCATTTGACCCAGCAATACCACTCCTGGGAATATATCCCAGAGAGGCAAAAAAGTATAGTTGAAGTGACATCTGCATTTGTTTGTTCATTGCAGCACTCTTCACAATAGCCAGAATCTGGAAAAAACCTGAGTGCCCGAGAACATATGACTGATTAAAGAAACTTTAGTACATGTACACAATTTACATACAAGTGGTACTACATGGAAAGTATCATGTTAAAGTAAATGAGTCAGAAAGAGAGGGATAGACATAGAAACATTGCATTCATCTGGGGAACATAAAGTAACAAAATAGGAGACTAACACCCAAGAGTGGCCGAGATTAGTACCAGGAGTTTTGCTCCATGGCTTGGAGGCCAGCCACACATGCTAGGGGAAAAGGGAGCTCAGATAGAGAAGGGACCACCAAATAAAGGGTGTTGGGAGGATTCTCCCAGGATGGGAGAAGCATGCTGAAAGTAGACTATAGACCAAACATGATTGCCACTCAATGCCTCTTTTGCAAACCACAACACCCAAAATAAGAGAGAGAACAAAAGGGAATACCCTGCCACAGAGGCAGGGTGGGATGGGGGGTGGTGGGGGGTGGGAGGGATACTGGGACCTGTGTTGGCGGAAAATGGGCACTGGTGGAGAGATGGGTGTTTCATCATTGTATAATTGAAACCCAAGCACTAAAATTGTAAATCTGAAAAAAAAGAAAAAAGAAAAAAAATAGAATTAAAGATGCTAATTAAGTTGCTGGTCTAAGGAGAGGAGAAACACACCTTAAGGGCTGTTTTGCCCTTGTGGGCTGCAAGTGGTCGAGAGGTCTGGAGAAACAGTTTTGATCAAGCTTCCCGTAGGGAGGCATGGTGAGAGGATAAAAGAGAGCGGCTGCAGGGAGGAAGGGATGGATGGATGGATGGTTGGATGGATGGATGGATGGATGGTGGATGGAAGGAGAGCGGATTGAAAGAGAGACAGTTACAGAGACAGCAGAGAGACAGCAGAGAGAGATAGAGGAGAAAGATCTAATGGGAAGAAAGAATTGCTTGGTTAGAGAGAGACAGAGAGAGAGGGGGGGTGGAGAAGCAGGAGCACCGAACATGGGTGGCGAGAGCCGCTGCCCAGAGAGCCCACAAACATCATTTCATATGTAATCCCCTCGCACGTGAAGGGCTTACATTGCCCCTTGGAGTGTGAGATTTACACAGCTCCACAGCACGCGGAATAAATTTTTACAGTTGTTGACCTTGAGAGAGCTTTATATATCTTGGACATTAGTTCTTTAATGGGCTGGAGTGATAGCGCAGCAGTAGGGTATTTGCCTTACAAGCAGCCAACATGGCCGACCCGAGTTCGATTCCTCCGCCCCTCTCAGAGAGCCTGGCAAGCTACTGAGAGTATCTCGCCCACACGGCAGAGCCTGGCAAGCTCCCCGTGATGTATTCAATATGCCAAACACAGTAACAACAAGTCTCACGATGGAGACGTTACTGGGCCTGCTAGAGCAAATCGAGGAACAATGGGAGTTCTTTAATATATGATGCGCAAATATTTTCTCTCAATCATTAGATTGTCTATTTTTTAAGCCTCAATTCTTCCACAATGCAAAAGCTTTTTTATTTTGATGTTGTTCATTTATTTCTGCTTTGTTTCCTTTGCCTTACCCCTGTGTTAGGTATTGTGTGTGTGCATATGCATGTATGTTCTGTTTTATATGTATATATATTGTATGCTGTCTTGATGTATGAATATCTTTGCTTTTCATTATCCACCATTGCCTCTTTTATGACCAGATGCATATAATATAATATAATATGGTTTTTCATTCTGTTAATTTCTACTTGACTTGGAATAGCATTGCAAGAGTTCCACTTTCAGTGTTTGTCTATATAAGTGAATCTCTTGTAAAAAAAGCATATAGTTTGGCATTTTTGTATCTCTTAAGATTCAGTAAAATAATATCTCTTATCTTGGCTCATCAAAGATAACTTATTAACCCAACAATATAACTTGTTATTGGTCTCTGAGGACAGTTAGTAAGATAACTGATAACTTTTTTGGATGTCTACTCTAGCATTGAGTGAAAGAGTACTAGAATTATTTATCTTGATGCTTTGTTGACTCCTCAAAATAATTGCAAGTCTAATAATGTTTAACTAAACTAAGTCACATAAAGGGCTGGAAAAATTTTGCAAGCTCAATCTGGGAAACAGAACAGATTTCTCTTTCCTACTCCTCGTATTATTAAAGTCAAATTATCTCATTTAGTTTCCAGCAATTATTGGGCAGATTTAGTTTGTGGATAGGGATCAGAGAAAATATTCTTGCCAGCTATGAAAATATCATCTTTTATCTAACATAATTTCCCCTAAAAGAGACCAAAATTGAAAATTTTCACATTTAAGTATTTTTTATCAAGTGTGGTATAAAAAAAGAGCAAGTTAACTACAAAATGTAATGAATTTATGGTAAGTAAAAGACACACACACAATAAATAACCCTGTAACTCAGTAATCTACTCTACCAGTTTAATTTTGTGAATTTAAACTATTTTTAATAACTGCCAATATTTTGTATACAAATTATCTGGATCTTTGTTATGAATCAGCAGGATATGGTGATCTAAATTGTATGAAATAAAACTACAGAAATTAAAAACAAAAAAATTTTAAACAAATTTTATGTTATTAATTTGTTTGTAATTTATTATAGCTTAATTTAATCATCTTTATATCCTGAACATTTTAAGAATTAAAAATCATCAACTAGTGTGTGGGGGAAATAGTACAGCAAGTTAAGGCATTTGCCTTGCATATACCTAAGTGAGTTTAATTCCTAGCACAAAATATGGTCCCTTGAAAAGCCCTTGAGCACAGAGTTAGCAGTAATCCTTAAGCATCACTAGATGTGACCCAAAAGCAAACCCCCAAAGATTAACAATAGTAATTAATCAATAGACTTATACCATTAATTTAAAATTATAAATGCATGGGTAAATAACAAGTAAGCATAAATTGAAAACTGTTAAACATGAATGCTATAGTTTTAGCACACTAAAATTTGTGATAATGCTGATCAAAATAATTTTAAAGCCATTAACAGTTTCCAAAAGCTAGATTTTAGCAATTATATCTGATAACTGTTGAATTATAGTCTTCGCTCCAGGAATATACATCAAAATTTTCCACAGATTTAAAAGTGATGAACCTGAAAGAGATATAAAATTATTGCTTGTAAAATTATAACTATTGTAAAAATAATTTTTCAAAAAAAATTGATGTGTTTTTGCATATAAATATAAAATGTTTATTTTGTTATGTTTACCCATGTAAAGTTTTTAGTTAAAAATTAATTGACCAGTTCTTGATATCTGTCTAATGATTTAACTGTGATTGTCTTCTCTTTATCTTATTCATAGTAATTTTATGATTTTCATAGTGGAATGCTTAGATTCCATTACCTTTATTTTTTGCATATCCAATCTAAAATTTATAAAGCATTTTATATGTAAGCGATTTGTTTTTGTTGATAACAATTTAAGCTACAATTCATCTTAAATTTTTTTATTTTTATGCTTTTGATTTTATGCTACCATATTTTATATATTTGGTAAAACAATTGACAATATTTTGAGTTTGGTATTTATTAAGAAACTATTTTAACAATAATTATTTTTGTTGATTACTAGATTTATAGCTGATTAACTCACCACCATTGCAGCATTAAATTATTATTAATTCAACTGTATATAAGCCTTTACCAGTGATATTTATACTTTTACATTTTTCTGTGGCTTATTTGCAGTTTTTTCAGTTGGCAATTATTCTCTAAGTACTTTGATATATTGAGCCATTTCTTCTGACCTGCAGGTTTTGCTTTGAATTAACTGCTACTAGTCTTATGGATGTTCTTTGTACATAATAAGTTGTTGTCTTTAGTTGATTTTAAGAGACTATCCTTGTGTTTAATTTTTGACATTAACTGTAATGTGTCTAAGTGTGGTTCTCCTAATTTTATTTCGTAAAAGCAAGATGATAGATATTCTCTAAGATTTCTGGATGTTGATGCCTATTTCCACAGACATTTTTAGGCATTATTGCTTCATGCATATTTTATGTCCCCTTATATTTCTCTCTATCCCTTTCTTTTCCTTCTGGAATCCCTAAATCTTAACAATGTTCAATATTGTTCTTATTTAAGTTAACTTCACCCTTTTCCAAACTTTCATTCTTTCATTTCTATTTTGAATTAATTGCACTTCCTTGTCTTTGATTTATTGCTATTGGATTCTCTATTGAATTTGTTAATTCAATTTTATATTGTATTCAGCTTTTATTTCTATATGGCAGTCATTTCTATCTGTATGTTGATACTTTCACTTGGTTTAGTCATTATTTTCCTTACTTAGCAAGTATATTTATGACAGTTATTTTTAATCCTTTTTCATGTGAATAATTTGGCTCAATTTCATTAAGGCTGTACGTTTTGCATCCTTCTTTCATTTAAAATATATGCATTTGTTCTTTATTTTGTATACTTGGTCTGCACATTAACTGAAACAACCACCTCTCCAGTCTTAAGAAATAACTTTATGTAATAGATGAAAGTTATCTGTCAACCCTGCTTTAGCTTATGAGTGTTCCTCAATAATATGTGATATCCTAAGCAATTTTCTTTGTTTTTCATGAATCTCAGTTGTTAAGGGTATAATACCCACAAGAGTGCCAAAAGGGACATTTCAATAAGCACCTATAAGCACTCTGATTAGAGTTGATCCTCAGGCAGAAACATCTGTTAAAGTCTTGTGGAACATTTGAACTTATGTCCTACTGGTTACCAGAGCCAGGATATTTGGCAGGAAGATGTAAAAACAACAAAGTATCATATATTTGCATATTTTTCTATTCAGAAAATTTCAGTAACCTGAAGTAAGGTGACGAGAGTCCAAAGGCTTATGTCCAGTATGCTCCCAGTCTCTGCAGAGTGTTGAAGTGTATGAAGTGGGCACTTGATAGGTAAAAAGTGAGAAGAGCTCTGAATCTGTATCTATTTAGATAAGCATGTTCCAGGCCATTGTGAATCTGCAAATGTCCTTTAAGAAATGTCTCTTAGTTTATTTCAGCCACATGGGTTTTATAGAAACCAGCCCTGGTGACTTTTAGTGAAACCCTTCTCATAAGAGAAGGTATTAAAATTTGGGATGTCAAACTGCTTATTCTTCAGGCAAAAGCTAAAAGTTGAGTTTCCTCTCAGTTAAGTGTTGCAGTGGCAGTTTTTTATTTGCCTGGTTGTTTTTTTTGACAAGAACATGTCACAGTATTTTCTGATTATATGTATTATTTTTCTCATTCTCCTACTGTGCAAGTATCACTTAGCTAGTTCCTGGCTTTCCTTAAGAGGGAATTGTTCTGATGTAGCTGTGGATTTATTAAATTCATTAAAATAAATAAGTTTGAGAAACTCTTATGATGTCATTTCAAGTTTATGAAATTCTCCAATATATTTACTCCCACATGTTAAAATATTATAATATACACTTCACTATATATTTTCATGTCAAATTTAATGTTTATATTTTTATTTATGTTTAATTATCTAACTCTATTAATGTTTTGATGGTGTTTTAAATATGATTCCTGGGTTCACTGAATTAGAATACATTTAAATAATTGTGATTATATGCTTATTCAAATTGCAAAAATAGAGTCCTATTTTATACTCTTATAAGACATTCTACAGTTGAATGGTTGGAATATTGTACTTCTTCTATTATAGTAAGGTATAATAGAGGGAGTTTGCAAAAATAAATATGCTGTTTTCCCATTAACTGTGCAGGATTTTCTTTTGAGATTCCTTTATTTTTCTAATTAAGAGTGATATATAAGGGGAAAGAATAAAATAATAAACAAAAAAATCTTACGTGTATATACATGAGTTTGGATATATATGTATATATAGACATATCTATGAGTTTGTCTCTATGAGTAGATGAAAAATGTCAACTGAGCTATTCTGATAACTTCATGCACCAATAAGAACTCAGGAGAAAAGATAAAATCAAGATAAGTAACACAGGTACCATAGGAAATCCTGAATATTTTTCTAGAAAAGTGTTGTAATGATATATATGACATAATCATTTTTCTTTATTTATTAAATGTAATGTTGATTTTCTTTACTGCTTATAAGGCACTTACCTGAAGCACTATCCACCTTGTAAAGGGTATCTAGACCAAGCAAAAATATGTTCTGAAAGTCACTAAAGTCTTTTATGAAGGGAATTTTATCTTCGTTAACAAGGATTCGTGATGGCAGTCCCCTCTGGAATTCATGTATTCTAATCAAAGTTGTATGGAGGTGTAAGGATGCAAAATAATCCACAGATACACACCAAGCTTTCTCAAACTCTACTTCAGGATTAGAGTAATATACAAACCTGAAAATCAAATAGAAAAATATAAAATTGCTTCACTCAGAATTTCAACCACACTATTTTGTAGAAAGTTTTATTACCTGGCAACAAATTATGTCTATGATCTACCTACCACTTATACTATATATATATATATATATATATATATATTCAAAATAGGAGCTAGAGGTAATATTCTAAGTAGTAACTGGGAAATTAAAATTTTTATTTAAATAAAAGCATCTCTTCAGTTATTTATATTTTATTTTGAATTTTTATCTCTTCAACCAAACATCTTATATTTGATTATTATGTAATAACCAAATGTTAGGTGGTGAGGAAATAGTTCTCATTAGAAATGTGTAATACAAAAAAAATCTAAGATTTGAAGATCAAGTCTTTGCTAGACTAAAATATTTTTTTAAAACTGTTGGTATCTTAAAGTCAGAATACCCCCCAAAATATTGAACATCATGCAAAAAATAATATATGATTTTCTTCTCTGGTTTCCTTAATACTTTTTTGATGTTATTGTTCTTACCCTACTGGAATAAGTCTGCTAGGAAGCCAAACTTCCTTGGTATTAAATTTTACATGGAAAATGTTAAGGTTCTGGGAAATGGTTTTATAACTATATAATGCACAGTTTTATCTTCATCTACTATGTAAACATGTTGAACAACTTAAAAATTTTTTAAGATATGTTACCCCTGAAATATCATTGACTCCTTTCTTTATTCGCCAACTACATTCTACATTCTACTTCAAGTCTGATAGATGTCACCTCCTTAACAACATTCTCAGTCCACCTGATTTGAAATCTACTATGTCCTCCTGCACAAAATACACATAGCACTCTGCCATTCACATATTTGTTTGCTTTTTATTATATTATATTTTCTAGAAATTTGATCATCTTCTAAGTTTCTATTTCCACATAACATTTACTAGATCTATTAAAGTCAAATTTTTTGAATTATATTTATTAATATCAAACAAATCATACCACAATCCCCCCAAAAAAAACTTTGCTATTAGGTTCCCATCCTTATGGGCTCCTTCTTGCTTCCTATACACAGAAATAGAAAAGTGGGTACAGTGGACCCTTCATGAGAGAATAATTTAATTTGGATTCTAGTTGACTTTCATTAGTCCTATCAAAGGTGACTATGAAATAAGCATAAAAGAAATATAAATTCATAATAATTTTTTTTAATGAACACACAGTCCTTATAAATAGTTAATGCAACAAATTACACAAGACTCAGCAACACTAGGAGAGGAGGAATAAGATAAGAGTATTAAATCAGCACACAAAGCATACATGAGCAAAAGTTAAAATCAAGAGATGTCTTTAAATGATTAAATAGTTATATTATTAGACATTTAAAATAATTAGTGAAATATGATATTGTTAAGTAAAAATTTGAAAAATAATGTTAAATGGCTCCATTTTAGACATAGAATTGGATGCACCAATCTTTGGCCTCAGGACCACATTTTTATTTATTTAAGTATATCTAGAGAACAGTGCTGTTTCATATACATAGTTACTACCTAAATTACCTACTTTATCTAAAAACAGTAACAAAAAAATTTTAAGTAAGTTTCTTGGTGTGTAGCAGAAGCATAGCCTTAATATTTTAACATGATGGAAAATAAATAAAAACATAAAACTGATCAACCCAAAGAAAATAAAGTGAAGAAAAGTAAAAATAATTTTTTTCATGCTCAAGGTGTGAATAATGATACTATGTAAGTATATATTGAAATGATAAAAAATCACTATTCAGCTATGTGGAGAAAATGAGAAGAGGAGAAAATGTGTGTGAAGTGGGTGTGAGATATCGAATTTTTGTATGATTTTTAAACATATCTAAATATATGTTATACTTAAATGTACTTAAACATGATTTCCCATAGTACTGATTCAAAGCCTAATACCCACGAGCAAAAATCATGGGAAACTCTCAAAAGTTTGATATTATTATATATTGAATAAAATTTTTAAATGGATAAATGGGACTATACCAAATTAGGGAAAAAGCGTCGGAATAGTGAAAGAACTCGCTAATACAATGAAGACAACCTGAGGAATGAGAAACATATTTGAAACTGTTTATCTTATCAAAAGACAATATACAAAACACAGAAATATTTCAACTTAATAGCATGACCAGTAACAATAAATCAACCTATTTTAATAAGTGAGAAAGGTGTTTTGTCCACTTGGAACAACATAGAACTTGAGGAGCTTGTGCTAAGTGTATTAAGTCAAAAAGAGAAAGGAGAGGGAGTATGGTGCCACCAGCAGGTCAATCTGTACCTGTGAGGCAACAGCATCAGCAGCCTGATGGTGACTTCAGACTTCCAGATGCCACAAAATTGCTGCTGTGCCTTTGGCCAGACCCCAAACAATTGGGGCAAAGTTTACCAAGAAAGTAGATAGCCAAAAGTTAGGTATGTGGGAGACACACCCACAAACCACCTCCGGCTCAGCTATATAATTGGAGGCATGGCCTCTCTGGTTCCTTATCAAACTGCTTAATGTTCATGATCCCAAAGACTTAGAAACAAATCTTGAAACCCAGCGGCTTTTGGCAGAAATGTGTCTGGTCCCCGCAGTAGGTTACTGATGTCAGGCCACCCCAGGGGGGATAGGGTGTGTCCCTCCGCCTGCTCCCCCTTGGTGGCTTGGTGGCTGCCTTCCTCCAGAGGCCATTGGACAGCAAGGTTTGGGCCCACAGTGATGAGTCACGTGGGGCCTCACAGGATAGGTGTGGAGCCAGCTCTTTCCTCTGCCCCAACGAGACCCCGAGTCGCTGCCCATTAACAGCCTCTCTGGCTCCTGATCCAAGAGACTTAACGGCCATGATCCAAGAAGAAACAAATCTCGGAACCCAGCAGGTTTTAGCAGAAATCCCTCCAGATTTAATTGTTAAAATTTTGGAATTCCCAAATCATATGTTGTTTATACCCAGCAATAGAAAACAAATTGTCTACTGTTGCCTTTACAGCAGATCTGAAGTTGGAGTAAAATCACAAATAATAATGGTGTATGGTGTCAAAATATTGAATATAATCAAAGGAGAGAGAGAGAGAGAGAGAGAGAGAGAGAGAGAGAGAGAGAGAGAGAGAGAATGTGGAAATCATCTGCCCCACAAGTTGGCGGGGGGCGTGTGGGTTGGGGGGTATACTGGGATTTTTGGTGGTGGAAAATGGGCACTGATGAAGGAATGGGTGTTTCATTGTATGACCGAGACTTAAACCCAAAAGCTTTGTAACTGCTCTCATGGTGATTCAATAAATAAAATTATAAAAAAGGGGAAAAAAAGTAAGATGGAGTTCATGCCCAATTCAATCGGCCTAATCAATGGCTGAATAAATAACAATACTCCTACAAAAAAAAGAGAAAGGAGAATATATGATCTGTGAAATGTAAATAAAGCAAAAAATAAAATAAAAGAAACCTTTAAACTCAGAAAACAAAAAGGTTATGTTCAACATGGAGCCTGATGCTGATATAGGGCGTCAGTGGTTGGTGGTGAATGATGATTGGGCATTTTTGAACAACACTGTATTCATTTCATATGTACAGCTTCTCACCTCATCAACTGTATGTGTCATGCTACACCCACTACCCCTTTCTTCATATAATACTATTTTAAAACTAAAAATGCTAAGTATTGATGGCATGTCATTAAAATCCCTAATGATTAAATATATTATTCATTAGTAAGTAAGATACATATGTTAGAAAAATAAGAATGCATAAATAAGACCAAAAATTATTTGCCATATAAATAAAAGTTTGGGGGACCAATTCTTACCTATCTTCAAATTTTTTTAAAGTTTCTTCTAGAGTTGAGGTGTGAGCAGCCCACAGGTACTTCAGGTTGTCATCAAAGCTAGTAAAAGGTAACTGAATATTCTATAGTAAAAAAAGAAAATTTTTATTCATGTTTGATTGTAATAATTTCTCTACAATTTGATCTAGTTCACTTTTACAGGAAGCAGTATTTCACAGAAGAGAATTTTGTTTCTGAGAAATAATTTTTAAGTCTTCAATTACTAACTTGCTATGATTATAATAATCATCTATTATTTTCAGTAATATTGAATGTAAATATAAAAATTAACTGCAAGTGTTTTCCTGGGAAAATGAGTTTATAATTTCCAGGAAAAATTTATTTTTGCTTATCATTTATTTTTCCTTTATGATACTTGAAGTCACCATAAAAAAATAAGATTAAGTAAAACAAATTAGAGTATCAACTTAATCATATTTAAAATAACAAATTATTGATTTTAGTAAGTCTATCTTTTAAGCATTGATATAATCGAATGTCTATATATAAAATCATTACATTTTATTTTATCATTGAATATTTTGTTTTGGTTGCCACATTAATTGCAATCCACTGACTTGTGATCACATATTAATTCACTTGAAATAAATTCACTGACTGTTCTAAAACTGACTCCATAATTATTTATCTTTTATTATTTGTTGATTTATTTGGTGGTTCACGTCATCAGAATAACATTTTAATTTAGCAAATATTCTGTGATTTATCACATTCATGTGTAATTTATTTAGCATTAGATAAAGTGGGTGGTTTTTATTTAGAGGTTGCTAATGACATATAGTGCCCTAGTTCAGTGTAATAACATTATTATAACTTTTAAAACAATTTACACTTTTTGTTGTTGTTGATTTGGGGGCACACCTAGAAATGCTCATGGTTTACTCCTGGCTCTACACTCAGGAATCACTCTCAGCGGTTCTCCCAGGACATATTGATACCTGGGTTGTACCTAACATGGGCCATGAGCAAGCGGAACGCCATTATCTGCTGTACTCTCTCCTGCCCCACAATTAACACTCTTATACTTGGAAATTAGGGCAAAAACCTAGATCGAAAGATATTAAAAGAAATTACCTTACCAGTTCCTAAGAATAAATTAGAAAACAAAAAAAAAAAGAAAAAGAAAGAAAGAAAATGAACCTGGTAAAAGGCTTTCCACTTTTTCATTGTTTCAGGGTAAGATGACTGACAACTAGAAACACTATTGCAAAACCTCAACCCATCCTTTGGTGGTAGCAAAAGTACAAGTTGGTCTGATGATATCCCCATGATGCCAGAATCAACCGCACCAAGCACCGGCAATACACATAGAAAATAATTCAAATCTGTAAAGGCAAAACACTTAGTATTACCATAAGCACTAACAACTGTGAGAGAAGGCATGTTAAGTACTCTGTAAATAACTAAGCAAAATCTAACAAATCCAGAAATTTAGGAGAAAGTCATTGTAAAAGGTAAAAAATCTCCCTGGGCTCCTGATTGATAGTACAGCCAGCAGTGAGCTGGCCTTTCAGGTAACCAACCAGGATTCCATCCAAAGCACCCTATATGGTTCCCAAAAACGTACCAGGAGTAAATCCTGAATGTAGAGCCAGGGGAAAGTCTTGAGTTCTGCTCAGTGTGGCCCCAAAACAACAAAAATCCTTCTACAGTGTATGTAAAACTTAAACCTATTAAGTTTTATACTTACAATCTTAAGTACAGTTTTAAACCTACAATCTTAAGTAAGCATGAGTCCAAGTCATTATTGAAACAAAAAACAATTGAAATGAATTTGGTAATTCATTAGTTTTAAAGCTCTTAAATTGATAAAGAGAGGAAAGTATCCACTTAGATCATACAGCACTTTAAATGAAGCTTTGTCATAAAATGTTATTTTTTCCTACAATATTTTAATGTGTTTATAGCATTTACATGTACTATTTAGCTGGATTTAATGTACAATCATGACATTGAAAAATTCTTATTTCGAAATGTCTCTAAAGCAAAAATGTTGTGGAAGATTGAAAATACACTTTGGATGATTTTTAAAAAGAAGTTTACCTAAATATGACTTACCTAATGGATTTAGAAGCTATTTTACAAATGTTGACCAAAACCTATATTGATTTCTATTGGTGATACAGAACATTTATTATAAACATGCATTTGTGAATACAATACATAATTCTCTAAATCCTAAATTAATTTGAAAGTAAAGAAGCCTGGATTTTACAGAACTCTACACTTGTGGCCACAATTATTTGTGGTTTTTGAAAAGAACCAATAACTATTAGAAAAATATGCACTGGTTCACATAATGTTTGTAACTCCAGGAAAGCAAAATTTAATGTTATTCGATTTAATTATTGGTAAATATCTCTACAATACCTTTTTGCAAATTCATTTAATTCCTAAAGTGCAAAATAAAACTTAAAATAAGAAAATATTTTTAAATTATCTTGACATTAAATATCTGAATGAAGACAAAGTACTAGCAATAACAGTAGTGATAACAGTACTTTACCAGGTTTTGTGGTAGCTTAATCTGTGACTTTTTTGTAGATTAAAATGTTAAATAGATTTGATCTGAGGAAAATGAATAAAGGCATTATTTTCTTGCTGTCTTATTTCTCTTCTGTTTTTCTGGAAAGTCTCCCCTACAGTGGAAACTCCCAGCTAACTGCAAGAGCTTATCTTTCAAAGGTTCGTATCCTTTGTAATTCCTTGTGTCAGTTCCACTGGTGGGGAAGAGGCAGAGTGGGCAGTGGGCAGAGGGATGGGAGGAGGGAGTAGCCCTAGGGAATCATTATTGACATTGTGATTGTTGAAGTGTAGAATGTGACACAAGAGCTTAGGATGCCAAAGTTGCTTCTTTGGGGCAAAGAAATAATAGCATTTATGTTTTATCTCTGTGGCTAAATGTTAGGTTGAATGTTGTCTTTGGGGGAAGGTTATTGCCTGTTTTGTTATATAAATGAACCTACCAGCCCACCAGCTGTCCTCTGAGATACATAAAGGATCAGATTCATAACCACAATCTGTCGTTCTTGTGGGATCAGCTAATCTACCTAGAAAAGAAAGAATATACAGAAAATTTATTATGTGCATATTAAAACTGCTTATAAATGTCAAATAGATATATTTGTACAAAATCTATCTATTGGATGATTTCTCTATCACTTTGTAACCCTTCATTTTCCATCTCTAAAAAATATGTATTTTCTTTGTCTGGCATCACCACAATTTTTCACTTCTGGGTGATTTGCCTTCTCTCTTCTTTGTTTTGCTATTCTCTCTTCTACTTCCGTTTCCACTTTACCTTCAAATTTTAGGGAGGCAACATAAAAAGAATTAGTTTTAGTCCCATACTATGTTTCTTTATAACACACACATGAAATGTGAGTAAATGTATTATAAGCCACAGTGCCTAAAATAAAGTTAAAATAAAAAATATTTTAACAGAATAAAAAAAAAGGTAGAGTTCTAGTGTTTAAACCAAATATTGGCTCTGTCATTTGCTAGTTTGATCTCTGCAAAACTTCAGCTATGCTGTTGGGGTTGGGAGTCCCCTAGCCCTGGGAGGCGCAGAGAAACCAGACAGATACAATTCCTGCAGGAGTACAAAAGGGGTTTATTTAGACCAACATGCTGGGACTCCACAGCTACCCCAGAGTGGGCAGTGGCTGAGAGAGCCCTGAGCTTCTTCAAAGGGGGTCTTATATAGGCCTTCATGGGCTGTTATAACAAAGCCCACGCATTCCATAGCCTATAGATTCGAAAGTCAGCAGTTTCATACATGGATTGTTAGTACTAGCAAGGTTATAGCGGGAACATTAAGCCTTGGGCAATCTCCCCCAACCACCCACATCTTGAGTTATCCATTACCCAAGACATCTGCAGGGGTCTTTACTGAAACAATACATTCCAGGAACAGTAAATACGCCTGAATCCTGTCACACTTGGTTTCACAAAAAGTTATGCCCTGTTCACATTTCAAGTTTCACCCCAGGTGCAAAGCAGCCAAGCAGTTTTACAGAAAGCAATGTGGCAAGTTAGTTGAAGCATGCAAAAATTTAATGCCCTAATATGGATTCTTTCAATGCCATCTACTACATTCAACAGTGCTGTATTCAAAGGGGGGGGGGGACTTTTTATTCCAGTTAGCAGTTCTTTCCCCTCCCTAACTGAAAAAGTGATTTTTTTTGTCATTCTCCTAAATTTTATGTGCATCTTATGCAATGTTCTTGTTTCCTTTCCCTAACCATTTTTCATCTTCTGATTCTCTTTTATGATTCCCTTCCACATTTCAGCCAACCCCCTTAACCCCCTGCCCCCTTTGTTCCACTATAGTTGTGTTATGTCTTTTTGTTTTTCAGAGTGAAACACTTGTTTTTTGTGAAAAACAGGTCTATTCTCTCCATTCCTCATTATCTTTTTTCCCATGTTTTATCTAAATCAGTGACAGATTTACCTCAATGGTTCCCTTGCTGTCATCTCTCTATTTACCAATCTGTTCCATATTTTACATTTTTTCACCTGCTTTGTGCAATCAGCTTCACTTATTTGTTTCCCTGAAAACCCACCACCTTTATTTTTTCCTTTTACTAGTTATGCCATCTTTTTCCATCCATATCTTCAGTGATTTTCTCTTTATCACATTACTTCTGACTTTTCAGCTTTTCTTAACTTCATCACTGCCAAAGCAAGGATTGGTGAAGAATTTAATTTATTATTCATGTTAGCCTCCAAGAATATTAAAAGTGTAAATTCCTAATGGACTGTTTCTCAGGGTGCTGAAATAAAGTCTATAAAAATTTCCTTTTCTATTCCTTCCTTTAGTTTCCTTTGATGGGTCTAGTAACACCTTCTTCTGTCACTTCTCCTTTAGATTTCACTTATTCCTTCAAAGAATTAAATTTTCTGACACTTTCATATATTGGCTAAATGGTGGTAATAACTATTTTTTTAGCCTGAAACATTCACATGAGGTGGTGTCTATTTGATTTCTTCTAGTCTTCAGATAAACAAGCCTGCAACATCACACTGATCTAGATAACCACATAAGGTTGAATATCCTTTCTGTCCCTATAATAAAATTTGCATTGTTTTCACTTACAGATTTTCTTAATAGCCTCTTTTTCATCTGTATCAAATATCAAATATGAATTCGGGTCTTTTTTCTGCTTTAAAAGAATCTTTAAAATTTTTACCAGATATTTACTTATACATTCCTCACTTAAGATTTTTTTTAGGGTATTTGAGCTTAACACAATAAAGCCTATTCTGTATTTTAATCCATCTATGTCAAAATATTAAAAATGTCAATGGAAACGCAATTTTTGTAAAAGTGTATTTGTTTATGATCATAGAGATTTCCTACTTCTTAAAACTTAAAACTCAAAATATTAAGTAAATTAACTAATATCGCAGTACCCTTGATTCCTGAATAAAAATAAATACTTTATCTGTTCTTCTTTCAAAGATCTTGCACCAATCTTATTTCTCTGAAATCCTCCATGTATTCAATTTCACTCCTGTTTTCTTCTTTACACACACACACACACACACACACACACACACACACACTCACACACACTCCACTCAATCACATACACAAATGCCATGTTGTTCTAGATCTGTTATTTTGCCTAATTTCACATAGTATTCAAACTGAATAGATTTTCTGTTATTGTATATCTTAGAATAGATTTTCTTAAAAACTAAGTTGTTGGTTTCAATGAGCAGTCAAATCTGAGAAACACTAGTTGAACTTATTCTTTTACGCTCTACAAAGAAGTTGTTTCTATTTCTACTGTGAAATTTATACATATTTAAAGTCTTGTTTTAGTTAATTGCCTGATTATTCCACTTTATTCCATTCCCCACACCCCTTTTCACTTTTAACAGTTATATAACTGCTGTTATTTATTGTTCTTTGTTTAATTTCTCATATATTTACTGTTCTAATGATGTTCTTAGGTCTTCAATGGCTCAGAAACTGACTCAGTATTTGTTTTTGACCATTACCAGTATTTGTTTATGACTGTTACTACTCCCATCATCACATGGGTTTAGACTATATCCTACCATAACATAATGTATGTTAATAAAATAAAATGAATATGAATTTAATGAAAAAGGAATATTCAACCAGCCCATTCATCCTCCATTTCCAACTCCTCTGAAGCAGATGTTTTTCTAATCACAAACTTCATGTTAGTTATCAATATGGACTAAGCAAGAAGCACCCCTTCTCATGTGAATCTTTGGTTTGTCAGACAGGACAAAAATTTGCATTTAATTTATGAAGCTTTGGCCTAAATATATCTTCAAATAAACATTATTACTTGCTTTACTTCTAAAAAATATTCTCAAAGAACCAAAAAAATTAATATTCTCAGAGAAGCATGCTCCTAAACAAGATTCTACTCTTTAGCACTCCCATTACCAGTGGGTAAGTAATCACAACTTAAAAACTTTCTAATTTGAAATCATCTCTGGTTTTAGTGGATATCTCCTTGATGGTTTTGTTCATCCCAATGCTTAGAATGGAGTCTAATGCTTAGAAAAAGTTCAACAAATATCTGTGAAAAGATCAACAAATTATATATAAAATCTCTTGTGAATGGCAACTATGTCTTATGTTCTATTATTGTTTCTAATAAAAAATACAACACATAAAAAAGAATTTATGGAGAATGGCAAGAAGAAAAAATGAGCAGAAAAAAATTTGCAAAATTAATATATTGAGTCCCATTTATCAACTAGTGCATAGTTAAATTAATAGATCATTAGAATAAAAACAAGAGAGATACTTACCTGAACTATATTGCCAGCCATGCTGCAGAGGCAATCCCCATAAGGGATTTTGTTCATTATCTTTTCCAAATCTTTGAAAATATTTGGCTGTCTTGCTTAATAGGATTTTATACAGCCCCAATCTCTCAGGGTATACCCAGGGATTAACAACATATTTTCCATTTTGTGATGTATAGTTACTGAATTGAGAAGGACTTTCCTCCCATTTAGGAGGGTACAGAGCTGAGAGGTTGAACGTCTCTATCTCTGCTGTAGAAATAGAAAAGCAACCAACTAGTACATAGGACCACAGAGCAAAGAAAGCCATTGTGCCAGTACTGAGGACTGAGGTTCGATCAGGGTTTTTATTGGGAAAAAAAGGAAGAACTCCGATGTAAGCTTATACCTCATCTGTTGTTTTCTTTTCCTCTAAATGATAAGAAGAAAACAGAAATGCCTTTCTTGCCAATGAAAATAGGATGATTGCATTGTTAAATAACATCACCAACATTGCTTTATATTTACATAACAGGTAAAAATATGTTCCTAAAGAATTTAATGTTGATTATTTATTTTAGACTTGTTTTGTTTTGTGTTTGGATTTTTGGTTTGTTTTGTTTTGAGTCTACACCTGCAAGTTCTCAGAAGATGTATGTTTATTGTACAATAATGTATTGTTTTCTTTCTCCTCCCACCCCCAGCCTCCGGAGATAGTAGGATAAAGATGAAAATGCCTTGCTATTGAAAACAGGATGATTGAATTGTTAAATAACATCACGAATATTGCTTTATATTCACATGACATTTGAAAAAAATTTCTTTAAGAGTTCTTTATGTGGAGTATTTTAGAATTGTTTTGATTTTGTTTGGAGGTCACAAGTGTTAGTGCTTAGTGGTTATTCCTGTCTCTGTGCTGAGGGAATCACCCTTCACAGATGTGGAAGACCATTGTGTGTGCCAGAGATCAAACCCTGGTTGGATGTGTGCAAGATAAGCACACCACTAGCAATAATATCTCTATGCCTCTTTTTAAACTTTTAGAAAGTTGTTATTTTATTTAATTTTTTAAACGTGACTAAAAAATTAAGAACACTTCTTGCATAGTCATTTAGAAATTTTAAGATAAGGCATTTACTTATCTTTGAAAAAGAGAGTTTACTTATTAAGTCCTCTATGATGATTAGGGTTTTATTGAATGAAGGTGGAAGCAAGAAGAAAGAGACAGGAGGTAACTTGGGTAGGGGGAGGGGCCTCCAGCATATTAGTGCTGTAAAGGTGAGGTATATGTATATAGCTGAATCACAGAACCAAAAACACTCTAAATATGAGGTCCAGACTGCACCAACAAAACTTGAAGGTGTGCCTACCAAAAAGGTAGGCTGGAGAGTATAAATGAACCCTGGGACATTAGTGGAGGGAAGTCAAAACTGTGCTGGGACTCATGTTGGAATATGGTACATTTGAAACTCAACTATGTCAGTCATGGTGCCTTAATATTTTTAAAAAATAGTTTGAATACAAAAAGGTTCTAAAATTTAAAAAAATCTTGTTTGTACGGTTGAACTTTGAATAGCACCTATGTGGATGACTCTCGAAGTTGTCAATGAGCAGTTAAATAAGGCTAAAGTTTACTGTGCCTTAGTTGTGTAATAAAAAACAAAGCAAAAAAGCAAAGAAAAACAATAAAACGTGGCTTATGCTAGTCATCTGCTTTCCTTAAAGAATTTGAAATTTGGGGGTATCACCACCTCCAATTAAATGAAGTATTTTATTTGTTTGTGAGTGTTTTGAAAAAGAGAGAGAGCGGTACACCTGTCTATGCTCTTTTAGGAATCATTCCTGGTGGTGCTCAGGGGACCATATGGTATGCTGGGGATCAGACCCAGGTTGACTGTGTACAACGCAAGCACCCTACCTGCTATAAACTTTTGCTCTGGCCCAGATTAATTTATTTAATGTAGAAATTAGGTAACAACCTTTTAGATTAACCCAATGAACATAGAAGTTTTTACTATACAAGAACATAAATTTGGAAACCAGTTCAGTGAGAATAAAACCTGAAGAAGTTTCCTGTTTTCCACTCTGTTATGCTGCCTTTATCTTACGTGGCTGACACCTAAGAAACTATTTGGTTAAGATGGAATTGAGAAAGTTATTAGTTCCTTAGTCACTTCCTGTTGCACTCTTAAAACTGATGCTCGTGGCCCACACCCACATCTTGCTGGCAGAGAAGCAGCCCAGCATCTCACCTTTGAAAGAACATGACACCACGAAATCTTCCCAGGTAGTCTGGTCAAGCCTGAGAACTCTGGGGTCTTGGTAGAATGGGGCTGGGCAGATTCCCCTTCCTATCTAAAGACACTGCAGACTGCAGCCATACCCAACACCCTCTGACATTGAAGTAGCCCACTTCTACAATTGAACCTCATCAAACTGCCAAACCACCAAATCATTCCGACTCTATAGAACCTGAATGGGGTGGCTGTGTCTGCTGCCATTCAACACTTCAAAATTCCATAATACTGTCAGTCCAGTAGGATCACAACAAATCTGATTGGAAAGTTGCATAGAAGACCACCAAGCTCAATGAGTTTAAATAGCAACACAGAAGCCTCCACTAACACTACACAGCATAGTTGATCCTCAGACAATGACTTTAGTAACGTCACTGTGATATCTAACAGTTATCACAGACTGACTCTTATTAATCTAAGTTCTGATAATTCCATATGAAGTAATTTTATTGGTGCCCACAAGGGGTCTAATGGGGGTTGGGATAGGAAATTGGGAGCAAAGGGCACACTGGCAGTGGGATGCTGTTGGAACATTTAATGCCTAAAATAACTACTGTAAACAGCATGGTAAATCATGGTGTTACCATAAAGATGTAAAAACTGATGCTTGTATGGTGTACATTTTGATGACCAGAGATCTAAAGCAGGATCTTTGTGATCAGAATTTTTGCTATGGATCTGTCAATAAACGTAGACAGATATTTTCATGGTAGGCAACAAGCTTAAGTGGGGAGATGAGTTATTCATTTTGAAAGGCCTACCTTCTAATCCTGGTACTGAGATTTTGTGCTACTAGTTCTAGTACTACATCACTGAATTCTGTGCTACTAGTACTAATACAAAGACATGCATGCTGGGCATGTTTGGTTCCAGACATTTTGTATGCTGTAGTGTGCATACATAATGGCTTCTATATTGTCTTTCAAGCAAAGATTCTGGTTTTCTAAGTCTTCAAGAAGTTTGTCATGCCCTCACATTCTTGGAGAAAACTCAGATGATGCTGATGGGCTTTGTGGTTAACTACCTGATTTCTGGAAACAGCAAGACCAGTATCACTCTCACTTTCAGTAATCTCTTAGTCCTCATTTATGTACCTCAACTACCAATTACTCTTCTGAAATCTCCTTGACGCCAGTACAGGCAAGATGAAGAACACAAATAAGATAGAATAATGTGGGAACAGAGGAAAAAGTCTTAATTCAGAGTCAGAAAGAAAAACAACAGATGAAAGTAAAGAGCACATGGAATCTCATATAGTATGCTTAAAAAGATAAAACACAAATCCCAAAGCCTCTTAGAATGATTAGGTTGATTTAACATGGTACTTTTGAGCCTTTTCAAGTGACCAAACATTAAGCATACCTCTACGAAAGGAGTCCCTTTTATCTGTCAATTCTAAGATAATGGGAACAGAAGTGAGAGACAAGGTAGAATCAGAAGGCAAACAAAAGTTACTAACACCATGTGGATAAAAAGTATTTCATAAATACTATATTTTTCTAAGTACTAAAGGAGTTTACTTAAGCTCTATGAGTGCACTCACACATGATCTAATTTTTTTTACACTAAACTGGACCCAATAGAAAATATTTAAATAAAATATACATGGATGACCAGTGTAGGAGCAAGAGGTATAGGGGCACTGCTCAGAGCAGGTGGGTAGATTAGACCATCCTGACAAAAGTGTACTCCATGTAGGGTGAGGACAGTGAGGGAAGGGGGAGGCTAGAATCACCAAGCCTGGCTGGATGATGGCTCAAGGGTAGACATGGCAAGGCACCAGACCATAAATCCTCTAGATTAACTTGCCACATAGTTTCTGCAGACCAATGGCGAAGTTGATTGATATCTAGACTCCATGGCTTGGTGCCCATGTAGGCAAGGTTTAAATTGATCTTCCGGTGATTGATGTTGAGATTAGGGTCCTTGTAAGCCCTCAAGGTAGCTGTCCTGTCAGTCACAGGCACGAGGCCATAGCCAGGGGACTTGTCTGTTTGGCAGTCAGTAATGACCTCAGCCTCCTCAATGTCCTTGAATCCATCAGAATACTTCCTGAGTGAGGCATGGTAGTGTGGTACACTGGGGATGGGTGTGGTGTTGGAATTATATCCAGGAGAAATAATTATTAATAGTGATAAATCAATCTAAATATATTGCATCAAATTTAATTTTGTACACAAATCTCATTATGGTAATATTCATGTCTTACTTGTCATTAATAAAACTTTAAAAAGTTTCCATGCTAATATATTTTGGAGTTTACATGAAATAGATAAGTCCTATGTAATTGTCATTGTCCTCCCGTTGTTCATCGATTTGCTCAAGCGAGCCCAGTAATGTCTCCATCGTGAGACTAGTTATTACTGTGTTTGGCATATTGAATACACCACGAGGAGCTTGCTAGGCTCTGCCATGCGGGTGAGATACTCTCAGTAGCTTGCCTGGCTCTCCGAGAAGGGCGGAGGAATCGAACCTGGCCTGGCCAGCCACCCACAAACAAGCCAAATGCCCTACCGCTGTGCTATCGCTCCAGCCCTATGTATGTAAAAAATTTTTTCTCCCCTACACTTTGTTTAAACACTATGGTTTACAAAGTCATATTACAGACATTCAAAATTCCAACACCAAACCCACCCTAATATCACCTGCCCTCCATCACTTAATCTTAATCGCTTAACTTCCCGTTAGTCGTTGATTTGCTCAAGCGGGTGCCAGTAACGTCTCCATTTGTCCCTGTCGCGTGCTAGTGTAGCCCAATGGCATCTGTTTGCTCTGGGAACATAAAGAGCCTCAAACCGATCATTCATGATCTTGACGAAGAAATCTGTCCATCTGGTAGGTGGGTGGCCACGCGGTCTTTTGACATTCCGTGGAATCCAGTCGGTAACAGCTCTAGTCCAGCGGTCATCTTTAAATCTCATTACGTGACCAGCCCATCTGATTTTTGACACCTTGGCAAATGAGACAGCGTCCCTGATTCTTGATCGTCGACGGATGTCAGAACTCCAGATTCTTTCTCTCATTTGAGTGAAAC